AAAAAAAAAAAAAAAAAAAAAAAAAAAAAAAAAAACCACCAACAGAAAGGAGTGAACATTTAATGAACAAGTCTAATAAATGGAATAGATGAGGTCTTTAAGAATCTCCTGACACAAAAAAAGCCTAACAGTTCTCACATTCCCTAGGTGATCACTTACAGCAGAGATCAGCAAACTTAAGCTGCAAGCCAAATCCAGTTTGCAACCTCATTTTGTATAGTCCTTGAGCTAAAAATGGTTTTTATATTTTTAAAGGGTTGAAACACACATACACAGAGAACATGTGACAGAGACCACCTGCACAACCTAAAATAATATATAGCAAACTTTTTTATAGAAAAAGTTTGCTGACCCCTGATTACAGTGACAGCCCCTAAAATAATCCAGTATGTTAGTTCCCAGAAGTTCAGTGTAGTGGGTCTACCTATTGTAACAAATCAACAATCAAACAATTCACATTTTAGCTGCTCTCCCCATCCCCACCTGGTGCTTCCAAGTCTGTGCCTTCAGAGCACCTCTTCTGTCAGTCTCAAAGCAGAAAGGCTCAACCTGGGTTGTATTCTTCACCTTCTTCTCCGGCAGGTTAATGGTGTCAAAATGAGGCAAAGGAAGCGCTTTGAATTTGGGCACCTAATAGAAAAGAAAATGTAAGATTTAAGATAAGGCCTTTCTAGCCAGAAAGCAACAGCTGCTCCAGAATATTTGGATCAATCTAAAAAATAGGAAAGGCCAGTTTTCAAAGCAGCATGGTGTAGCAGAAAGAGTAATGGGTTCAAAGGAAATCAAGGTTTTCCTCCCAATATTGCCAATGACCAGCAGCATGATCATGGGCAAGTCACTTAAGCTCCTTGTGCCAGAATGGCACTTAAATAGCCTTATGAAGTATAAATAGGGCAAGTAATTTAATGGCACTTTAAATTACTTGCCCTATTTATACTTCATAAGGCTCTTAGAGGGATCAAAGGAAGTCAGTGATTTATAGTTAAAAGTGCAACATAAAAGACTACCTTTGAGGGATCAAAGAATAGTACTATGCTACTTGGAGAAATGGAAACACCTACCTCCCCTTTCTGCAGTTCTTTCATTTTCTTCTCCTTCTGTAACTGACGTTCTTTGTCTCGAGAATCAAAAGAGAAAGGGCATATTTCCACAGTTCTTCCCACTGGGATTTGGGGTTTAAAAGGCATTCCAAAATATGGCACAGGTTGAGCTCTTATCACTACTGGCTCCTCCTCTTCCTAAAGAAAAAAAATGCAGTTTAGAAACAAGATTCCTTGCTCTCTCTCACCTCCTCTGAATGTGGAGTCAGAAGACATTATATGAGAGAAGTCATTAATTAAGGCAAGTCACTCAACCTCTCAGGTGTCTTAGCTTCCTTTTCTATCAAAGAGGGGTATCTACCAACTCTCAGGGGTGAAACCAGTGTGAAAGCATTTGATAAACTAACACAATTACCCTTAAAGGATCTAAAATTTTTCACAGGAAGGTTGTAAAAACTAAATGAGATCAAACAGTTTGAATAAAATGAAGAACAGAAGAAAAGTACTAACCAAGCATATACCTTGGCCTCTTCTTTGACCCAGACTTCAGACTCCACTAAAACATGTGACTGGGAGTATTCCCAGTTGCCAAACCCAGAATAGGACCAAGTAAGTTGATTGGATTCAAGCTGGTAACATAAGATTACTGTGTATTTTAGTTTCAAATGAACCTATAAAAAGGCTTATGCCTGAGATCTGCTGTAAAATTACCCTAACTCTGGATATTTATAGATAAAATGGGGAATGTAACAAGAAACTAGCCTGATCAATGACAGTTTATATATTCCAACTTCATGAACCATCCCCACACAGTCACCTTTGCAACCCTTGGATTAATGGAGATAGTTAAGGACAGGGTGGATGTAACTGCTTAGTATGAATTTTAAAAGTCCCTCACTGAATGATGACAATAGCTGAGGCAAAATAGAGTATAGGTCTTGGGAACTTTTGATCCACGTTACAACAGGGTGATTTCCAATGCAACAGAAACAAACATAACTCCAATAAGTTACAACCAGTTACCACTGAAAGCCAAAAGATTCATACCCTTACTAACTACTTTGTTCTTGGAAGAGCAAAAACAGGTGATCAATCATTCATACCCATTGTTAAGACAACTCCAGACAAGAGTGATGGCCTTTGTATTCCACTAAGTTTAAGAAAGAATAGTGCTTAGATTGATTATGTAGAAGGAGTAGAAACCCCCAACCCAGGGAATCACCTCATCTTCTTTGGTGAGCATTCTGATTCTGTTCTTCAGAGCAAAGGCTGGTGACTTGGGGACAGTGATTGGAAGTACTTTCTTTTCAGGAACACCCTGGAAGGAGTAAGCAACTCAATTAGATATCCTAGAACAATCTCTACTAGGCTGTGTGATGAGATCAATCCCTTTCTTAGAAGTTCACATATCAGGAATCAAAAAAAGCTAGTTATTTCAGTATGTTGTTAACTTATCCAACTAAGACTGCTATGTATTAATGCTCCAAAGGTGGATTAACATGACAGAAGAACAGCAAATAACAAAAACATAGTTTGAGTTGCATATTCAACAAAAATAGGATTCATCAAAATCTTTTTTGGTATTTATGAAAAACACTACAAAATAAACTGTCAATATTTTATTGTTTCTCTCCCATTTTATACCCCAATCCCTTAGAAACAAAATCAAAATGTCTTCCAAATGTTATCTAGGAACAGAACAGATACTGTCCATTCTCTTAAACCTATTCCACATACATCTCTAAAATAAGAACTTATATTTAAAACTATTAACCTCAAAAGGCAAATGGAAAAATGTATGGGGCAAGGGCTAGCTTAATTTCCTTTTGCCAAATAACTGGACAAAGAACAAGCAGTTTACAAAGATATACAAGAGGCTCAATCTCAATAATTTTTAAAAATATACAGTAAAATAAGGTATTTTTCACCTACAAGACTGAGTAATAATTAAAAGACTGGTTAATACCAGTGTTGACAGGTGAAGAGAAATGGGCACTCCTATACAGTTGGGTAAGGTACAGAGCACAAATTGGTACAACCTTTAGGAATTAGCTGCTAAATCTTTAAATGGTCATACTCTTTCACCCAACATTACATCTCTAGTATTTGATCTCTAGTTTAATTTTTAGGTATATTTCAATACAGCATTTTTAAATTTAAATGAATAAAAAAATTGCAAATAACTATTATCTATCAAAAAAGAACTGGCTAAATCCTTTCTTAAATTGTGGTACATAACTAATTGTGGTACATGACTAATAAGAACCTACTGTATAGCACAGGGAACTCTACTAAATACTCTGTAATGACCTATATGGGAAAAGAATCTAAAAAAAGAGTGGCTATATGTATAACTGATTCTCTTTGCTGTACAGCAGGAACTAACACAACACTGTAAATCAACTATACTCCAATAAAAAATAATTTTAAAAAAATTGTGGTAATCCACACAATAGAATACTATAGTCATCAAAAAGAAGAAAATAAGTCTTTATTACTGACAGAACAGTATTCATAATGTTGAGGGGGGAGGGACAAGTTGCTGAAACAAAAAATACTATTATTAAATATTATTTCTGTGTGTTTTTAAGATGTCTTTTAAGAAAAACAAATATATGATATCACTTATATGTGGGATCTACTTTTTTTTAAATGATATAAAGGAACTTATTTACAAAACAGAAACAGACTCACAGATTTTGAAAACAAACTTATGGTTATCAAAGGGTGGTGGGGACAGGGATAAATTAGGAGCTGGGGATTAACACACACACACTACTATATATAACATCAAAAATCAACAAGGACCTACTGTATAGCACAGGGAACTCTAAATATTCTGTTAATAACCTATATAGGAAAAGAATCTGAAAAAGAATGAATCTATGTATATGTATAACAGAATCACTTTGCTGTACACCTGAAACTAACACAACACTGTAAATCAACTATACTCCAAAAAAATTTATTTAAATAAATTAACTGAATTGAATTAAATTTTTAAAAGATACTTGCGTATACACTAAAAAAATAAAATAAAATGTATATATAATTAATCTAAGCATAGAAAATAAAATATGGAAAGAACACCAAGCTGTTAACTCTCACATCTCTTTGAGGGTAGATTAAAAGAGGGATTTAATTTCTATATTCCTTAATTCTAATACATTCAACTTCTCCCAAGACTTTTTCCCCCTTTGTGATTCCAAACACTGCCAACATCTCAAATCTTTTCAGACTGAATTATGTATACCATACTATGCACATCATTCAAAACTAACATAATTCTAACTCTCATAGAGTTTACACTATCATGAATCTGGCAATTAACCCTAACTGCAAAATGGTATCTCTAGAGCTACCATCCTACATGAAGTGTATGACCAGATCAATTTTAAAAAAATCGGGCTTCCCTGGTGGCGAAGTAGTTGGGAGTCTGCCTGCCGATGCGGGGTACGTGGGTTCATGCCCCGGTCCAGGAGGATCCCACATGCCGCGGAGCGGCTGGGCCCGTGAGCCATGGCTGCTGAGCCTGTGCTCTGCAACGGGAGAGGCCACAGCAGTGAGGGGCCCACATACCACAAAAAAAAAAAAAATCAAAACAACCTTGAGACATCCTCAGTAACTCCTTATTTCTTATACCCACATCCATATGCTGGCCCCATCAGCTCTCTATTCTGCTTCCTCTCTAACTCTTCACTGTCATGACACAGGCCACATCATCTATTGCCTGTACCATTCCACTAGCCTTCTAACAGTCCTTCAGCTTCTCTCATTCCACCAGTCCATCTTCTTATACAGTCAGAAGATTTGATGTTACTTCCTGACTTAAAATTCTTTAATGGCTCCTACTGCCTACCTACAAGAGTACAACATATTCCTTGGCATGAAGAACAAGGTGTTTCATAATTTGGAACCCTGCCTGACTTTCCAGGCATATCTCTTGCCCCTCTTTAGGCATCACCCTCCATCCACAATGAACTACTGACAGCTACCAAAATTTAACACTGGTTCTCATCACAATGCAATACCTTTGCTTATGCTCTCTCAGAAATGCTCTGGCTGCTTGGAAGCATCTAACCCTTCTTTTCAAGCCTCCACTAAAGCATCTCCTTTCTGATAAAACCTTTCAATAGATCGCTCCACTCCTCCAGACCTACTGACCCCACTCTCCCCTGTATATAGTCTATCATGGTACATATGAAACTTCATTGCACTTGTTTATTTAGGTATTCATCTCCTCCTGCTAACGTATGAGTGCTTTGAGAGTGGGGACTGTTATTCCATCAACCCCTAATACCTAACACAGACCTTGGCAAGCATAAGGCATTCAGGAAATGTTTGTTGAATGAATACAGTAAGCATGAATAACAGAATTTATACCTTGGACTTGAAGACTCTTGGACTCTAATTTATACCCTGGGAGACTTCTTAATCCCAACAATGCTGCAACTACTCCAAACATGTTTGGAATATCTTTCTTGGAGTGGCCTTCAAAGCCAGTTTTAGGGCCATGCAAGGCAATTGCTCAATCTTTACTTTTAATAAAGCAAAATTGTTTCCAGCTCTATTATTTTAGACCACTCAGAAGTTTTAGTTCCCAATGACTTTAGACCAGCCCCTAAGGGCAAATTAATCTTTAAAATATGAAGACTTGCCATCGTTGAAGAGATCCAAAAGACTGTGCCACAGGATCCAAGACCAGTGGCTTTTCCAAAATGCTTTCTACAATATCAATCTTTGGAAAGAATTAATAAACTCTCAAGGTGACCACTGTAAAGGGAATGCTCATTCTGCTGTGAAAGTTCTCATACATTTTCTAAAGAAAACCAGAATCACTAGTATAGTAAAATTTAATACAGCAGAACTTGTAATCAGAGTGACAAAAGTCTATGAAATGGGTTTTCAAATAATGCTTGCCAGAAAACACAACAAAAATCTGTTGTTTTACAACATCCTGGACACCTGTGGACACCAGCCTGTAGCTCGAACACAGTCAAGGATACGCGGTAATAGGAAGTACACTGAGCAAGGAGTCAAGAGATCTGTTTTAGCCCAGCTCTGATTCCAGTCTGTACAACCTGTATAACATGAGATAGCCTTTTAGTCCTTGGTTTTTTTCCTTTCATAAAATATAGTAATTGAAATAAATATCTGAGGACTCAGTTTTAAAATAATGTCACTTTTCCTATTTTTCCCCTCTCTCTGCATCCTCCCAACAGAGAGATGTGCATTTTAAAAGAAATCTCTAATAAGTAAGCCATGAAAGAGATATTTACGAGTAGGATCAATCCTCATAATTACTTGGGGGAGAAGGAAAGGTGATTTATGAAAATCAACCTTGCAGCAACTATTTATCCACACCCCATCTCCACTGCAATCAAAGCCAATAGGGGCTCAATCAGAAATAAAGAAAAAGACATTGGGTTTCTAGAGACCCAATAGAACAAGAGGCTTCTTGTTCTATTATTTTAAGGTTTTTTAGTTATAAGCTCCTTGAGGGCAGCAATACTGCCAACTGCATTCCTTTGCATTCTCCACAGCACCTACAAGAAGTAGTAATTGTTCAATGAACATATGTCGATTAGCATTACTGTCCTTATTTGTTTACATGTCGATCTGTTCTCCCAGACTGTGAAAGCTTTGAGGACAAAGGCTGTGCCTAATTCCATTTGAATTCCCAGTGTCTAACACAGGCCGGTGCACTTCAGCTTGTACTGCTGCTCATGCAGTTATCCAATATAGCAATGCCCATGCTGTGATGCTTAGGTGCTGGGGAAACAGGAGTGAACAGTACAGATATACATGGTCCCTGCTATCAGTGAGTTCACATTCTAGTGGAGGAAAGAGACAATAAAAAAGTAACAAATCAAGTATTTCCTGATTTTCACAAGTGCTCTGAAGAAACCCAACAGAATGTGGAGCTGAAGGATAATGGGGAAAACTCTGAAAGGAAGCTGAGGGAAAGTATCTCTAAAGAGGTGATACATGGTAAGAAGTGGGCAATGTGGGTGGACAGATGACACATTTTGGAAAAGCAGCCCAGGATGGGGGATGGGATGTTAGGGGTGAGCACTTCTCCCTAAGGCAGGATATGCCCCCAAGTGCCCTGGGACAAGTTCTCAGGCCTGTTCCAGAGCAATTAGGAGATTACCATGAAGCAATGTTATATCTCAGGGAGTATGAAAAAAAAAATTTTTTTTTTAAAGCCTGCTGGTCTCCCCAGGTCCCTAAAATGTTGCTGCTAAAATTACTCACTGGAGAGCACAAGAAACACCATAAGGACGCATGGAAAGAGAGCTTCAGCACCAGGGGACACGTATGGGGACAACAGTGTCAGACAGATAGCTGCATTCGGACTCTGGGAGGCAGGCTCTTCTGCTGCCTGAGGGTCCAACACTAGAAGTTAAGACACCTAACCTCAGTTCTGCCACCAACTTTTAAAAACGTTTCTATGGGCAAGCCACATTCTTCTTTCAAAGCCTCCCTTTCTAAAAAATGAAGAAGAGTGGAAGGGAATAAATACATCTTTGCCTCCTTTTCTGCTTTGCTTCTCTAGAATCCAAAAGTTGAAGTGATGTCACTGAAAATTTCAGTAGGGAGAGAGCTGCAAAGAGCCAGCATCAAACTCAGAAACTGCATTTGCCAAAATAAACAATGATAACAGCACTGTGGGGTAGAATAAGTGTTTAAGGAGATGACAGGTTCAAATCCTGGTTCTGCATACTAGACACCTCTCAGCATCTCTTTCCTCATCTGAAAAGTAGGGTTAAAAATAGAACATTGTATAACTGATTCACTTTGTTATACAGCAGAAACTAACACACCATTGTAAAGCAATTATACTCCAATAAAGATGTTAAAAAAAAAGAACATTATCTCTTAAGAGTTGTTATGAGAAATAAATAAGATAATCTGCACAAAACACTCAGTACAACGTAAGCATGCAATAGTTATTACTATTAACAACATGACTGCTTACTGTGTGTCAGACACTAAGGTCTTCATCAGGGCTCTCTCTAATCTATGCTGCACCTAACAAAGCAAAACTCCAGGGGTGGAGCCCGGGAATCTGTTTATATAATAAAATCCCAGAGGATTCTGGGAACCAGATGGATTTGGTAATCACTTCCCTACCATTCAGTAGCATCTAACATACTTACCTAGTGTTTTGCTCATCTGTTTATCCAGAATTCTCAACAAGGCCTTACCTGGTACAATGCTACTCTAAGATCTCACTTAACTCCTAATGAACTCTAGTCCCCTTCCCCACTTACCACTTCACCCCAACATTTCCAAAGTACAACAAACTGCCAAACCAATTTCCTAAATCAGTGTTTCTAAAAATGGAGTTCAAGTAATACCAGTGATATGGAAAAGGATGTAGGCCATGTTTTTTTAAAAAAATAATCACAAAAAAATAATAATAATCACATATTTTCCTAAGAACCTTTTAGTTTAAAAGGTACCTTCTATTTTAACACAAGAGCATGGACCCTGGAACCATATTCAGATCCCAGCTCTGCCACTGGCTAGTTTGTGATCTTGGGCAAGTTATCTGACCTCTACAAAACAGACTGATAATAGTATCTACAGTGTTTACTTCATAGGGTTGTTATGAGAATTAAGTAAGTTATCATATAAAGAGCTTAGAATAAAACTTGGCACATAAGCTTTATAGAAGTATTAGCTATTGTTGTTGTTATTCGTGGCAAAAAGTACTGATTTTCCATTTACATAATGATTTAAATGTTCCCCTTAAAATTACTTTTAAAATGAGTTGATGATTTTAAGAATATATAAAGTCAATTAAAGTCAATATTGGTGTAGGAGATACAAAGAATACAGTAAAAATCGAGAGGGTGATAGGTAAATTAAATAAAAAACAAAAAACTTGTAGCAGGGGGAAAAGCCAGGAGCTTGGAGAAAAAGATGTTATTAAAAGTAAGGTGCCAAATGCACGTTACAGAAGCCTCATGGAAGTCATTTCTCTTTTCTGGGCCTTGGGTTTCTGATGTGTCAAATGAAAACAGAGCCCTTCTGGGTCTAGGATTCTGAGGTCTGCATACAAACTACAGTTCCCTTGTTGTATTCAGAACAATTTCCTCACCAGGTAATGACAAAGAAGGCACAGCTCTTGGAGACTAATCACTTGAGTGAGCAGAGGTTTCTTAAAAGTTTGCGTAACAGGGCTTCCCTGGTGGCGCAGTGGTTGGGGGTCCGCCTGCCGACGCAGGGGACGCGGGTTCATGCCCCGGTCCGGGAGGATCCCACATGCCGCAGAGCGGCTGGGCCCATGAGCCATGGCCTCTGAGCCTGCGCGTCCAGAGCCTGTGCTCCACAGCGGGAGAGGCCACAGCAGTGAGAGGCCCGCGTACCGCAAAAAAAAAAAAAAAAAAAAGTTTCTGTAACAGAGTCTGGCCTAACATACGTATGCATCACAGAAAAAAAGAAAAAAGAAAGAAAAAGAGAAAAAGAAAAGCGTTGTGAATAGAAAAGAGGTCTCATGTGCAGAAAGCTCTCAAATTGAAAGAAGATATCGGCGAGGGAAGAGAGGAAGAACCATTTGTAAGCATCATCATGCTTTTTTTAAAGCCTGGAAAATATAACTTCGGATTGCTTCTGACTTAGTGCTAAGAAAATAAACAAAACTAAATAGCCAGTCAAAGGTAATACAGTTGTCCCTCAGTATCCTGAGGGAATTGGTTCCAGGACCCCCAAAGATACCAAAATTCGAAGATGCTCAAGTCCTTTACATTGGTGTAGTATATACATATAACCTATGCACATCCTCCTGTATACTTTAAGTCATCTCTAGATTACTTATAATACCTAATACAATGTAAATGTGATGTAAATAGCTGCCTGAGAGCAGCAAATTCAAGTTTTGCTTTTTGGAACTTTCTAGTTTTTTTCCTGAATATTTTCAATCCGTGGTTAGTTAAATCTGCAGATACATAACCTATGGATAAGGAGGGCCAACCGTACAACTGGTGCAGAGTTTCAGTTAAAACTGTGGGGACCCTAAAGGATAAGCAAAAAGAAAGAGGACGGGAAAACAGTTCTTAGTACCTGGACATAAGGTGATCCAAACTGGGAGGAGGACGATTCCCCATCTGCCCGGAATTATACCTGAAAACCATCTTTGCCCTTATGCAGGTGCTGAACTCCATTACTTCTTCTCTGACTGTGGCATCTCTTCTTCATTGTATATTTTCTCTAAAATCATGACTGTGAGCCCATCATCAAACTACAACCCACTTCTCTAATCTAGGTTCCAGGTGCTCCTCTTGATATACTTCTTTTCTCCAGCTTAAATGACCCATTTACATTTCCCAGTAGCCACCCCATGCTTTCCACCTTTGGACTTTTTTTATGTTACTCCCACTGCCTGGAATGCTTGGCCAGTCCATTTCATTTGCATTTATACAAGTCCAAATTCCACCATAGAGTGGAGAGGCAATAAAATGAAGTGTAAGGTCACAAACTCTGGAGCCAGAGTGCCTGAATTCTTATACTTGTTCCACTAATTACCAGCTGAGTACCCTAGGAATGCTACTTAATCTCTCTGTGCCTCAAGTGCCTCATCTGAAACTGGTGAGAATTAGAGTACACAACCTGAAGGGGTTCTGATCAAAATGAATGGGTTAATATACAAAAAGGGCTTGGAGCAGTGCCTGGCACATAGTGAAAGTGTCAGCTATTAGGACAGTAACGACAGGAAGATGACGATGATGAGGACGACTACTACACATTGCCAAGGCTCAGATCAAATGCTTCCTCCTCCATAAAGCATTCCCTGAACCTTCTATCTGGAAGAAATCATTATCTCCTTTGAATACACAGCACTTTTAACTGTCACCTCTCTTAGAGCACTTCTGTCACTCTTTATATTATTTATACCTATACTGTATCCCTTACTGGACTTTAAGTTTCCTGAGAGCAAAATCCACCTCTGACATGTCTCTTTATCACCCACAGCTCCTAATATGATGCCCTGATCACGTATCTACTCAAACATTTGTGAATGGGTGGATCTGTGGTTATGAGCAGGGCACTTCTGCCAGCTCGCAGGGCCTCCCCACTCTTACCACAACATCTTCCAAGATCTTAGTAGGGCAGGGCCTAGAATGAAATTCAAAGTGTTCATCCTCCAATTTCTTCTTTGACTCTCGCTCCTGGATCCTCTTCTCAATTTCCAAATCAAAGCCAATAGGCTGAGTGGATGGCTTCACAGGCGGTTTCTTAGGCAAGATGGGCCCACCTTCAAGAATTCTGTGATCAAGTTCCTGTGCTTTGAATTTGTATCTGTAAGGTGAGAGTTTAAGTGACAACCACAAAAAATATTTTTTTTAATAAAATGAAAACTGCATAAACAACAAAGTAAGCCAAAACCAGAAAAATAATACTCATTAAGATTACCCATCATGCACAACAAAATTTCAACTCTCTTCATAGCCACTGTCTCTACCTCTAGAGCAAAGAATAAATGCGACAGTCCAATATTCCCACCACTTTAAAGATTGCGGTTTCTCTGCAAGAGGAAACTCCCCCTTCTAAAAAGAAGTAAAAGAAGGGGACTTCCCTGGTGGTCCAGTGGTTAAGACTCTGAGCTCCCAATGCAGGGGGTCCAGGTTCGATCCCTGATCAGGGAAATAGATCCCGCATGCCACAACTAAAAGAGCCCTCATGCTGCAACTAAGACATGGCGCAGCCAAATAAATAAATAAATAAATAACTTTTTTAGAAAAAGAAAGTACAAGAAGGAAGAAAGAAGAATACAGGAGACAAACTCTAGCACTAATCACATTAAGTTCCAGTTCCCTTGGGTAGCCATAAAAGGGTGAGATCTACCTAAATTAACCTCAGAGGACACTCCTTATTGGAATCATAAGTAAGTTCTCCCACTGCAACCTCCACAATAGTGTTTTACCAGTTTACACTTCAGGACAGCTCCATATTCCCACTTTCAATCCTTTCATCACAGTGGCAAGGCAAAGCCTGTAGCTCAAATGCCATAATTCCCAAGGCAAGAAAAATAGTTAACTGTCCCCCTTACAGAACTGAAAAGAAGGTAGGCACGTTCTTGGAACTCCTCCTCAAACACTGGCAGTGAAACTTACTGCTGCAGTTTCTCGAGCTCCTCAGCCTCCTGTTCTGCTGCACTTTTGTAGGTCACAGGTCTTGCACGCTGTTTGGTTTGCAGCACAGGAGTCTGTGGGTCTCTGCATATCTTGGCCACAGATTTGGAGGGTAACAGAGCTGTAAACCAAGATCACAGACATTCACTTAGCTCTCCAAGACCCCGTTTACCTGTAGGTGCTGACTCAGCTAGGCAGCCCAGAGATGCCAAACCACAGAGTGGCTGGCCCTCTACACTCAGCTCAGCTCATGTCAGTCAATCTGATAAACATTCAGTCCTTTCTCCCCTATCACTGTTTACTGAAGAGTATGATGAAGGCAGCCCTTGGGTAAACTCTGCTATCATCTTCTGAATCTGAAATCCATTTATGCCTGATGGATTCCTTTTCACTGCACAGGCCTGTACTGACTTTCTATTGACAGTGCCAACTATTTTGCTTGTTACTGACAAATAAGATTTTCACTTATTCCAGCTTTAAAATAAGGCCTTTCTAAAGACCTAGTAATAACTCCCAATATTATGAATTCCCTAAAAGTGTCTACATCAAAACATCAAGACCACCTCTCACAGAAAGTCAAATGGAAAAAGTAAGAAAAAACTATGTCAAAGCATCAATATTAAGATCATCACCACCACTCACAGAAAATAATGATTTATCTGGCCAGAAGCAACCTTGTCAATTTTCATAATTACATAGAATGAATCCTCTAATTTAGACCTTATTACCTAACAGTGGGAGATGGAAACCAAATCTACTTATGTTAGAAATAAGCCAGCCTTCAAGTATACATATAACTATTTTTGAGCTATAATGGTACAAAGTTTTAAATAAAAATTGCAGAAAATAATTTTTCTATTTGCCAGGACCAAGATTCTAAGAGCAATGTATATAAGACTCTAACAGTCATGTATTTGGAAAGTCATGGTTAATATTTACATTTCCATTAGAATAAAGAAAGACATTTCATTATTTTCATAATATAAAACCTGACAAATGGTTACTAGAACATAATAACAATATTAGGAAATGCTGTCCTTAAAGGAATGCATCTGGCTACCTAACATAACACTAAACAGTGCCTATGCAAAGGCAGAAAAAATTTAGAAACCTTCAAAGTCAAAACAAACGGATTCTGCTTTATCCAGAATACTACCTACACTCTTGACAACTATTGTATACCACACCTCCACTCCTGAAACTTCTTTACCTTCTTTTCGTAGGAATTATTTTCATAAAGATAGATGCTATTAGATTAGATTACTCTTATCTGTTCACCACCAAATCTACAAACTCAACAGCACAAAAATATACAATGAAGAAAAGACAGCCTCTTCATGGTACTGGCACAAAAACAGAAATATAGATCAAACTCAGCAGCACCTGCACCCACTGCTCTCTTCCACCCTCCTTTCAAAGAACAATCACTCCACTTGTGCTAAGTATCCCTCTCCTACCTGCCTGCACAGGGACTTAATCATCGGTTATCTCTTTTCTCTCCTCTATCTTCATCTTCTCTCCCTGCTAAGGACTTCTCAGCATACAGACCTGCTCTCCCTATCTCGCACCTCCCTTGATTCTTACATCTCCCTCCACATGCACAGCACTTATCATAATTTGTAATGATCTATTTGTTTATCTGTCTCACTGAATTAGAAACTTGATATGGAGTAGCACCAAGTCCGTTCTGCTCACTTCTATACTCCCTACACCACAGAGAGTGTCTGCTTTGTAGTGGTAAAACATTTATTGAATTGCTGAACAAAAAGCACACAACCTCAAGTGAATGGAATGCTTTCATTTTCTGTAGGTGAGTAAATGCACACTGACACATGGTAAAGATAGCCTTGATGTGTAATGACATCTCAGGTTAATTTAACTCCCCTTGGCCAATTATTGATCAGGAGGATCAAGGTGGTTGATGGGTATAAGTGGACAGATAGCTGGGTGGTTTGAGAAATGCTCAACTATGTATACATTTGTTGTCTGCATACAGGCACATGCCATGCTTTAGTTCAAGAGTGAGGATTTCAACTAAAGGCAAATTTGCACCTAAGATGTAAGGAAAGGGAATTCTAGGGGAGGCTCCAGCCAGGTATGATACTGGAAAGAAACTTACTAATATCATCCTTCTTGCTCCTCAAGTGATATCTGTTAGGGGTTCGTTTATGGAAGGCTTCGACCTGCTGTGCAAGGGGCACATACGTAGAAGCCGTCTCACCAAATGTTCTTTTCTTTCCCTGGGACAGGTTGAAAGGCATAACAATGGTGCATCCCTTAGTCACGCGGGCCTGAAAAGAAAGAAGTTGTTCCCCAAATGAAGTGTTATGGAAGAGCTCAGATCTACCACAAGCCACAGACTCAGTAAAAGGTTCAAAAGAAAAAGGGTCGGGGTTTCCCTGGTGGGGCAGTCGTTGAGAGTCCGCCTGCCGATGCAGGGGACATGGGTTCATGCCCCAGTCTGGGAAGATCCCACATGCTGCGGAGCGTCTAGGTCCGTGAGCCATGGCCGCTGAGCCTGCACGTCCGGAGCCTGTGCTCCACAACGGGAGAGGCCACAACAGTGAGAGGCCCGTGTACCACAAAAAAAAAAAGAAAAAGGGCCTGTGTAAAGCCAAGATTATTATTCTTCTTAAGTTGTCAGTCCTTGAGCAAGGGTTATAAACAGTCTATTCCCATCTTTTAAAAAGGGAGAGAGGGGAATTCCCTGACGGCCCAGTGGTTAGGACTCTGTGCTTCCACTGCAGGAGGCGCGGGTTCAATACCTGGTTGGGGAACTAAGATCCCACAAGCCACACAGCGTGGCCAAAAAAATTTAAAAATAAAAATAAAGTGAAAAGGGGGAGACAGCATCTAGCACTTAACAAATTATCTGTTCTGTAAGAGTACATAAGGTGATTTTTCCCAAGCATGTTAATGTTTTGAAGCAATCAAGAGCAAGTTTTCTTAGAAGCGAAAAAAGCTGCAAAGGTATCCCATCCCCAGTCCCATTTAAAAATTTTTAATTGGGCTTCTGGACCTGAATCAGGTCAGGCAGCTGCCTGAATCAAATTCTCTCCACACATCCTACCAAAAACTGACTGATGAAGAAGCCTACTCTTTGGGTCATTAATTTTGATAAAATTGGCCTCTGATTGGAAACAAAACTCTTCAAGGACTTACGTCCCAAAGGAAGAAGCACAACCCCAGGATTTAAGACTGCAAAGGACTGACTTCAACAAGTCATGATGGTGACTGCAAATGCAAGGAGAAATTCTTAGTGCTAGGATTTTTATTTAGGATTGTTACTGTTTTTGTTAGTGCTCTGGTAACAAAACTGGATTTATTTATTTATTTTTGTGTGTGTGTGTGTGTGGTATGCGGGCCTCTCACTGTTGTGGCCTCTCCCGCTGTGGAGCACAGGCTCTGGACGCGCAGGCTCAGCGGCCATGGCTCACGGGCCCAGCCACTCCACGGCATGTGGGATCTTCCCGGACCGGGGCACGAACCCGTGTCCCCTGCATTGGCAGGCAAACTCTCAACCACTGCGCCACCAGGGAGGCCCACAAAACTGGATTTGAGTGGTCTGCCCCAATCCCATTTTCCCCATAAACCCTGTTGTTATATTTTGCACACAACTTTGCAGACACAAGATTTTTTCAAAAATTTTGTTATAGCACAACCTGTAACAAGCCTGTACCTACAATTTGCCACACATAATTCTATCTGTTTTGTGTAAATTCTCAATTCAGTTTTCACAGCAACTTGATAAGATGCTTCCCAGAGACATAGAGTGATTTATCCAAGATTACACAGCTAACAGGGGCAAAGTGAGGATTCAGACCTATCTTAACTCAAAAACATATGCTCCTCTCAATTATATTATTGTAACTAAGTGACCACAAATACTACACCAGAATCCTCACTGAATTATTAACAAGAATATTAATTTAGTCTATCAACTTACAGGAGACGGAGGATGCTTTCGCAGTTCAGATGTAAAGTTCACTTCCTTATACTCCTCCTGGTTCTTAGGATGTTGTTTGATTCGCTCATCTGTGAGGAAGTGGAAGTCAACTGATTTGGTTACCTGGCTCACTGATTTCTTCACAGGGAGCCCTGAGTGAGGGAGCAGAGTAAAACACACAGATAACACTAAGAATAGAGAACATAAAGTAAGTCCCCTTTTATCCAGTCCCTTTGGTATTTCTATTACCATGGATCTAACTTTGTTTACTCTCTACATAAAAGCCAACACTTGAAACAGTCCTCAGGGACACCAATATATGTGCCTTATTCATTTAGTACTGTTGGGTTTGAGGCCTTTCGGTCAGAGGCAAACTGTTATAAGGTAGCACAGGGGAGAAGAATCTCACCTCCCAGTTGTGGTCATAGCCCTAGAGACAGAGAAACTGGAATACTTTTGATAGGAAAAGCTATGAATTGATTTTAAAAGCACACTTAACTAAGCACCTCTAAGAGGGATACCCTATAAACTCCAGAGATGCTTTTCAACCCAGTAAGCAGAGCTTCACAGCTTTGACTCCACCAATGATAATTATGCCAAAGCAAAGGAGAACTCTGATCCCTTCAGCTCTCTCAGTTATACTTTCCTCCATAACTACAACTGGATTCACTCAGCTGTCTTTTCCTCTGACTAGGATAAAATGGGAAGACAATAACAAAAAGCTGGTCTGCCCAATTGCTCTATCTTCTGTCTCAATCCTAGTTCCTTCTTATTCTAATACAAAGAAAAAGAATTAGGAGAAAAAAGGAGGGAGGAATTAACTCCACTTAGAGAAATGAGGTAAGGACTCATGGAAAAAGGCCTCAAAAGATGGGTGTGACTTCTTCAGTTAGAGATGGAGAGGAACAGCATGCTCTAAGAAAGGACCAACATATGTAAAATGTTCTAGGGAATGATCACTGGGACATGAATGGTACCCATGTCCAGGTTTCTAAATAAACACATCTTTTTATGCTGACTACTGACCAAGAAAGACTTTTGTGCTTTAGAGACTTCAAAAACCCTACCAAGATTATGAGAAGCACCCCCTCGTAAATCAGACTCAACCAGAACCCAGCTGACCTGCTCCTGCAAGAGCAAATTTTTTGAATTCTTCATTCTTTTTCCGCATCTCTACCACCTCTTGCTGCATTTTCATTCTCTTCTCCAACTCTTGCTCCTCAGTACTTTTTAGAATCTTCTGCCTAAAAGGCAAATCAGTAAAGGAGATGAGAGAGGAGAGGAGAGGAGAAAGAGACTCAGTGGTTAAAAAAAATCTAAAGGCATTATATAGATTAGATTTTTAACCTGTGATAAAATAACCATCAAAATCAAAAAGTATTACCTAATAAATTGATATTAACTTAGATAACACTATGAAAAAAAGATACAAAATTTATTCCAAAATATTGAAAAAGTTTCTGAAAAAACAGCTAAAATAGACTATAGAAGATATTATAAAATATCCACAAATTTGACTATATAATGATTAACTTTTATGCCACAAGAAAAACTAAAACTAAAATACCAGTAGTAATATTTTCAACAAACATGGCAAGAGGTTAATATACATAAAATATATACTGTGATAAAGAGAACAGACTTAGGAGTAAAGCCATCCAGAATTCAAATCCCAACCCTGTTGTTTCATTTTCTGCCTATGTGATCCTGAGAAAACTATTTAACCTCTGTGAGCCTCAGTTTTCTCCAATGTAAAATGGGTAATATGAATACTTGTTCTCACAGAATACTTGTGACTATTAAATCAGATAATGTTTCTGAAATACTGGATACATAGCAAAAGTTCAATTTAAAGTAGCCATTCTTAAAAAAACAATAACAATAAAATAAAGCAGCCATTCTTAGTAATGAGAACATCACTAAGACCACTTATAGATAAATAGAAAAGGAAAACAGATGATTCACCCAAGAGGAACTTTGGAAAAGATGCTTACAATAACAGTCATACAATCTTGTCAGCAAACACATAAAAATTAAAATAATTTGATGCCATCAACATATCAGTTAAATCTGAAACAATTTTTAAAGTAAAAAAAATTCAATGCAGATGAGACTACAAGGAAATAAAAATATTCATTCAAAGTTGATGGCACTGTAAATTCACACATTCATTTTGGAAATAAAATTAGCAATAAATATCAATAGCCAGAAAACTGACCATAATCTTAGATCAAGGAATTTCTCTTTCCTTATCCTGAGAAGACTAGTCAAAGAAACGGATTTACCTGTAAAGATGTTCATTGATTCCTTATAATAGTGAAAAATCGGAAACAGCACTTTCAACAGGAAATAGTTAAATATAATTTGATAGAATGCTAACAATCTATCAAAAAAAGGGTAAATGTGAAGATTTTGTAGCAGTACAGAAAATAAAATAGTCTCATAGCGAGTGAATAAAGCAGAACCCAAAGATTGCTTATACACTGATTATAAAAATATGTATTTTACTTGAGTAAAGTCCAGAAGGGAGCTTGGCAAAATAAAAACTGTGTAATTTAGGTAGTAAGAACCTTCACTAACTTTTTCCTTCTATATTTCTTTTACCTTTGTTTTAATAGTTAATTTTTTTCAATCTGGAACACTCAAGCACCCACAAGGACATAAAATAATTTACTTTACCATGGTTACGGCTTTCGGAGTTTCCCAAGCTCCATGTGCATCAAACAGACTGTAGATGTACCCATTTGTAATTTTTTTTTTTTTTTTGTGGTACGCAGGCCTCTCATTGTTGTGGCCTCTCCCGTTGCGGAGCACAGGCTCCGGACGCGCAGGCTCAGCGGCCATGGCTCACGGGCCCAGCCGCTCCGTGGCATGTAGAATCTTCCTAGACCGGGGCATGAACCCGTGTCCCCTGCATCAGCAGGCGGACTCTCAACCACTGAGCCACCAGGGAAGCACCCCCCATTTGTAATTTTACTCTACTGACTCTAAAGCTGAAATTCAGGATAGAATCATACCTTACAGGTGGGATACAAGGCACAGTATGTCTGCCCTTGGCTTTCTCTGGGGAAGACTCATTCTTTTCAGAAGTATCTTGATGAGCACTGCTTTCTTCCTCTTCCTCTGGCTTCTTTTTATTGTGAGAACTTGAGTTGAAAAGGACAAAAAATATCCTCTCAATTCCCTACAGCATATCCTGCTCTACCCTCCTCCCCAGATCTACCACACATGGCTTAAATTTTCTCATTCTTTAGGACAAAAACCATGCTTCAACAGCAAGATTCTTCCAATAGTATCATCAGATCATATATACCAATGGCTACAATGGGTAAACTTTGAGAATGCCAATAGAAGTCAGGGTAAGAGCTGTCTGGTGATGGTTCAGGAGGGTAGGAAGAGATTCCAACTGCTCATCATCAAATGAACAAATGCCAGACAGCTAGTTGTCTTCTCATTATTTATTCCACTTTCTTTCTTATTAACAGAACCCCAATTTTGCTTGGGGCAGCAATGTATGAAGGCAAAAGTATTGTACTTGCTTCAACAGTCTCTACTGCAACTAGAGGGGATCTAATTTACAGTTCAGTCAACTGAGGCATAACATAAGCGTTTCTGGAAAATATTTCACTTTCCTGATATGGGTGCTGCCCCTCTTTCTTTGCCAGACCCTTCTTCTTCTTCTCTCAAACATGGATATGATACCTAGAGATATAGTAGCTATCTTCAGATAATGAGGCAACAAGCACTAAGAAGAAGCTAAGAAACACAGAGCAGCCATCTTGAGCAACAAGTATCAAAAAAAACCCTAAGACTCAAAGAGATGTCATTAAACCAAAGCAAACTACTTTCAGACTTCTGTGAAGCAAATAAATCACTATTCTTTAAACCTCTCTAGTTAAATAGAGAGGTTTTATTACCTTCAGCAAAATACATTCCTAACTGATAAAAATAAGAACAAGCACCACGTATTCTGCTTGCTATTACCATAGGAGCAAATGGAGTAAAATCTATGTCAATAAACAGAAGCTGTGGCTACTTACACTCTCATTTTTTTGGAGGGTGGAATTTCATTGACGATTACGGGAGTAGCACATCTCTTGGCTTTCATTTGTACATGATGTTTTTCTTTCTGTTCCAAATTCTTCTGAGCAGAGAGTCTAAGAGATCTTCTATGGTAGAAGAATTGACAAAACTTATTTGTAATGAATACATCTACTGTATATGCAAATACTCCTCAGAAATGTGAAAATATGTCAAACTACAAAGGGCTATAAAAAGTGGTATTATTTCTGCTCTAAAAAAAAAAAAAGTGGCATTATTTCTGCTCTAAAAATCTAATACCTTCTTGTCTTACTGATAATTTTTGAAAATTCACCATAAAATGTTGGTACTTAAGTGCATTGGTTTGTAAATTAGACCTCAATAGAGCTGATTTAATTTTGTAAAAAGGCACTGGCAATCACCTAGTACAACTCCCTCCTTTTGGCAGTATGAGTAAAAGTAAAAAAAGATGAGGTGACTTGACCCTGTTACACAGCTAATTGCTGTCAGACTTAAAATTAGAAATCAGATCTCCTGGAAATTTACTACCAAGTGTTTATTTTCTCCGCTTTCTTTTAGCCATGGCCCCCTATTTTTGTTAAAATATATAACACATAACAAAAAGTACACAAAACAAAAATTAAGTTAAGTGATTACAAAGTGAAGACTCATGAAATCACCACATAGACTAAGAAACAAAACACTGGCAGCAGATGCTATCTTGACTTTTACAGTAATGATTACTTTTTCTTTATCATTTTACCATACAAACATGCATTCCATAAACATGGTCTGTTAGTTTGGAAAGGAAACAAAAAACGTTATGTAATAATCAGACTACTGCAAGCATTTTTTCTGTCTTGGTTTATTTTACTCAACATTATGTTTGTGAGATTCAACCACACTGACTCACGTAGTTCGAATTCACTGACTTTCAATGCTGTGTAATGTTCATTGTAGGAACATACCATTGTTTATCTAGCTTACTGTTGATTCTCACATAATGTCTCTTGATGTACACATTGCTGTTGGGTATGTTAAGTTGTAAGATTGCTAGGTCACTGATAGACATTGGTTTATCAACTAAAGTTATTTTCCAAGGTGCTTGTACCAATTTATGCTTACTCTGACTAATTTACAAAGTCTACACTGCTCTACATTCTCCAAAACAGTTAGTATTGTCAGATGACTTAATTCTAATCATAAAATTGGTATAGAGTAGAAACTCATTGTGGTTTTAATTTGCTTTTCCCAGTGAGACTGAGCACCTTTTCACATGTTTACTGGCCATTTGGCCATCCTCTTTCATAAAGTGCTAGTTAAGTCTCTTGGTTGTTTTCTACTGCATTGTCAATCCTTTTCTAATTGATTAGTAGGAATTCTTTATATTCTGTGAATATGAGGCCCTTTGTAGGTTTTTAGTGTTACAAATATCTCCTCCCAATCTGAGGCTTGGCTTTTCACTCTCCTTATGGTATCATCTGATTAGACAAATATGCTCAAATACAACAACCTCCTTCCCTAAAAGCATATCAGTGTTTTTCTGTGTGGATTCTATTTAAGAAATCTTTCCCTGCAAGGTCATGAAGATATTCTCCTATATTTCCTTACATGAGCTTCAGCTTTCACATTTAGATCTACAATCCACCTTGTACTGACTGTTTTCTATGGAGTGAGGTAGGAGCTAATTCTCATTTTGTTTTATGTGGCTATCCATTGTCCAATCATTGTTTATTGAAGGGGGAAAAATAAAAACACCCTCTCCCCAAAGGTCTGCAGTACCACATTTGTCATATATTGTGTCCATATATGAGAGAGTAAGCTTTTATTTGATTCCATTGGTCTCATTTATCCTTGGGTAATACCACAAAGTCTTAATTACTGTAGCTTTATAATATTGCTATCTACTAGACACTTCAAAAGTATTTTGACTATTCTTGGACCTTTGCATTTCTGTATAAATTTTAGCATCAATTTATCAATGTCCAAAATGAAAACCTTTGGGATTTTTGTAGAGATTGCATTGAATCTATACATCAGATAAGGAGATTTGACATACTTACATTACTGAGTCTCTCAAACCATGAACATGGTTATGTCCTGCCATTTATTTAGATCTTGTTTAATTTCTCTCATGTCTTAAGATGTATTAGTATATATTCAAATTTTTACTAGATTGCATAGAGTACCTAATTTTAAAATCTTTATCATAAAGAATTTAAAACTTAGTAAAAAGTGAAGAGAATAATAATGAACCACCAGGTACTACTCATCATTCAGCTTTAAAGATTTCAGCTTATAGCCAATCACACCGTCAATTTTCCCTCCATCCACGCCCGCCTAGCTTTTGAAGCAAATCCCAAATTTCAGATCTTTCATCTGCAAATATTTTCATATCAATCTCTAAAAGTACTCATAAAAACAATTACATGGAGTAATGCAGAGTGCATTTATCATGCAAATATTCTTGCATATTATTACAAAATGTACACAATATATAAAAATATGACTACTTGAAGGCACTGAAAAGTGACCAAAAGCAGGCAGAAAAAAGAGAAACATTTATCCATGAAAAGCAACTACAAAGGTTAAGAGTTATGAGTTAGTAGCTTTTTTGCCTGAGGGCACACCCCAAATGCGGCAGCTCCAGCAGCAGAAAACTCTAATCTCACTGGCCGTAGATAATGGAAGATAGAATTCAGGCCAGTACAGCAGCTGGAAACAGGAGGAAAGTCCCGGTAGTGAAAGAGCTACAGAAAAGGTATCACCCAAAGTCTGAGCCAAAACTCTGCACAAATTCCTATGTATTACTATATATGCTAACTATGCATGTTTAGAGGAGACTGGGGGGCCCCATGAAAAAGCAGAAACTGGTGAGGTGTCCATCCTTAAAAGACATAAATGCACTAGGTAAGACACTGGTGAGTTCGCTGGTTTTTATTTGATTCAGTGCATTCCCCAATGTGTATATAGTAGAATGGCACACAGCTAAAGTCTTACTAGCTTTAGGTATCAGAAGACAAACATTAGGGCTGGCAAAACAACTGGAAATTTAGAGGCAAAATGAGAAGCAAGAGAACAAGAGAGGATGAACACTTAAGCCTGAGTATAAACTCTACTCGGTCTTGGCTGACCACTAACATTTTCAGGCACAGGGGAGACTCCAGGGAGCCAGACTAAAAAAACAACTGTATATGCAGATATATGAATGGCCAGTAATCACATGAAAATGTGATCAACATCATCAGCCATCAGAAAAATACAAATTAAAAACACAATGAGGGACTTCCCTGGTGGTTCAGTGGTTAAGAATCTGCCTGCCAATGCAGGGGACACGGGTTCCAGCCTTGGTCCGGGAAGATCCCACATGCCGCAGAGCAACTAACCCCATGTGCCACAACTACTGAGCCTGTGCTCTAGAGCCCGCAAGCCACAACTCCTGAAGCCCAGGTGCCTAAACCCCATTCTCTGCAACAAGAGAAGCCACTGCAATGAGAAGCCCACGCACCGCAACAAAGAGTAGCCCCTGCTCACTGCAACTATGGAAAGCCTGAGCACAGCAACGAAGACCCAAAAAATAAATAAATAAATAAATTTATTAAAAAAAAATACAATGAAATATCATTAAAGAGACTGACAATACCAAGTGTTGGCCGGGATATGGAGCAACTGATACTCTCATATACTGCTAATGGGAATGTAAAATGGTACAGTCACATTGGAAAAATTCTGTTTCTTATAAACATACACTTAGCAGCACGGTCCAGCAATTTCACTCCTAGGTATTCACCCAAGAGAAACACGTCCTCACAAAAATCTATAGGCAAACTATTCATAGCAGCTTTATTTATAATAACCCCAAACTGGAAACAACTCAAATATCCTCAACTGGTTAATGGATAAACTGTGGTATATCCATCCAACAGAATTTATTATCAGCAATAAAAAGGAACAAAATATTAATATATGCAATGACATGAATGAATCTCAAAAGCACATGCTAAGTGAAAGAACTCAGATATAAAAGAGTACATACTATACAATTCCATTTATAAAAATATCTAGAACAGGCAAAGTTAATCTATGGCGACAGAAATCAGAACAGTGGCTGCCTCTGGGTGGGAGGCGGGAAAGTGAGAAGGCAGAAAGAACAGTAAAAGTTGAATTTAAAGGGAGAGGAATAAGGGAATGTTCTGAGGTGATGGAATTTGTTCTATATTGGTATCGTGGTTGCATTATAGACTTGTCAAAACTAATCAGACTGTGCCCTCAAGAGCTGTACATTTTACTATATGTAAATTATACCCCAATAAAATTAGTTATTTTTTTTTAAATGGACAGGGTTTCATTAAAAATTACAAGGAAAGAAGGCAACGTACATGAAGACATGGCCATTTTGGACCACTACTTAAATTCAATATACAATGATATTATAAAGTCAAGAGAAGAATTACTGAATGTCTTTAGGGAGAAGTTGCTAAGGGATGAGACTATAAAAATTAAAACATATATGTGGGGCTTCCCTGGTGGTGCAGTGGTTAAGAATCTGCCTGCCAATGCAGGAGACATGGGTTCGAGCCCTGGTCCGGGAAGATCCCACATGCTGTGGAGCAACTAAGCCCGTGCACCACAACTACTGGGCCTGCACTCTAGAGCCTTCGAGCCACAGCTACTGAAGCCGACACGCCTAGAGCCCGTGCTCCGCAACAAGAGAAGCCACCGCAATGAGAAGCCCGTGCACTGCAACAAAGAGTAGCCCCGCTCGCCACAACTAGAGAAAGCCCACGCACAGCAACAAAGACGCAACACAGCCAAAAATAAATAAATAAATGAATTTTTAAAATGTATGTGGTAAAGCAACATCTGCATGGAAAAATTATTATTATAGACTAAGGCCTTATTGACTTTTAACTATTCTGAGTCAAAGGAGTTTTGGCCATCTTTTAGCTTATCCATCAAAATCAGGTGAGAAGAAAATAGTAGGAAATTTGTATGGTTATCTATACCTTCCTATTCCATCTGCTATTCTTTTCTAGATTAGGCATCCCTAGACTAAGATAAATCTGAGATCTAAGATAAATGGCACTAATGTTTTACCTCCTTATGCATTTTCATAATGCAGTCTCATTTACAAACTACTAACCACATGTTATCCTACTTGGCCATTTCTTGCAATAAGCCTGAGAGAGACAGTTATTCTCAGTAAACTAAGGTTTTGAGTAGTAGAGATACCTGCCTTTAAAACAAACGAAACAAAAACAATTCAGGTCTTCTGATTCTGTGAACAGCTGGCTTTCTGTCATACCATCATTTCCAAAAAGCATTCAAAACTTCATTCAGAATGTGAGGCAATTTTAGTAATATACATATTCAAAATGCAGAAGCCAAGACACTAGCACTATCTTGGACTCTGAAGGAGTCTATAGGATACTGGGTCCCTTTTCCATAGGGACTTAACAATCTAAACATGGAACAGAAACCATAGAATCAACCTGTAGCAATCTCTTAAATTTCCTGTGATAGCTGGTTGAATCTCACAGAATTTTTCAATTAAAAGCGGCTTCTTCACCAGAAAAGATTAAAATAAGCATGTATGATACCATCTTCAAAAGGTGATCCCCTTATACCAGCATGAGGCTTTGTAAAGGGTAATTTCATTACTTCTGAGCAATAGTATTATAAATACTCTGCCATTCCTCAATATTGTTGACATCAAAGTATAAAGCATTAAATAGTTCTGGAATTTATTTATTTATTTTTAAATATTTATTTGTTTATTTGGCTGCACCGGGGTCTTAGTTGCGGCACTTGGGATCTTCATTGCAGCATACGGGATCTTTTAGTTGTGGTATATGGAATCTTTAGTTGTGGCATACGAACTCTTAGTTGCAGCATGTGGGATCTAGTTCCCTGGCCAGGGAACCAACCCGGGACCCCTGCATAGAGAGCGTGGAATCTTAGCGACTGGACCACCAAGGAAGTCCCCAGTCCTGGAATTTAAACTCTATGGGTGAGTGGTAATTATTAGATGGTGAAAGTTGTTTTTTTTTTTTTTTTTGGCCATGTTGTGAGGATTGTGGAATCTTAGTTCCCCGACCAGGGATTGAACCCAGGCCATGGCAGTAAAAGTGCTGAGTCCTAACCACTGGACCACCAGGAACTCCCAAGTGAAAGTTTTTAAAAATCTAATTCAAATAATCTTTTGATTAGTACCATATGAAGACAACTAATATTAAGACTAACAGCTTTGTTTTGGTTAAAAAGGGGATACGGATACAAAGTGCAACATTCAAAGACATTGGATTTTCAGAGGTTCCTAGTACCAAGAGTACAGCTTACCCCACCTATCTATCCACCCCTTCACTCAAGACTTTATTCAGCTTTGCTCCTGCAAGACACTGTTAGGTACTAAGGATATATGACACTTGCCCTTATGAAGTTTATTTACAACCTATACACAGGAAAAAAAAAAAACCTGCCACATATCCATACAAATAAATGTAAATGGCAACCCATGTTGACAGCGCAAATAGCAAGGACTTTGGAACCAAAGTGATCAGTCTGAATCCTGTCTCTGAAATAAATCTGCCTTGGGCAAGCAACTTAGTACCTCTGAGCCCTTATCTATAAATTAAGCATGCTACCTACAACTCATAAATGTTATGAAGATTAAATAAGGTAACATGAAGAGTCTAATGTAGTATGGAACACACAGTAGGTGCTCCAGTAACTCTTCTTCGAACGTTATTAATATAACCACCACTTTTGAACACCAAAACAGTCTTACCTCTGAGGCTGAGCTAGAATATTTCTTGATGTGGTTCCTTTGACTTTCAGAGAAGAACAAGCATTTGTTGGAATGGACTCTTCCACCAGGTTTTCTTTTTCTGCCTCTTTGTTATAAGTGTTGTCAACTGCAAGAGAGCAAAAACTAGTCAGTACTCAAATCCCAAGGAAATGAGTTGGAAATGAGAGATACATGTGTATATATATGACTTAATATGGAATTCTAGATTGCAAATTGTGTGTGTATGTGTGTGTATCCCTCCTAAGCAGTGAAATCTTACGCAGAAGAGCAATTTATAAAAGCTACTTTGGTTGAAGCAGAAATGAAGTATCCAGGGCCCTGCCTATTTTCCAGCCTAAGGCATCACCTCAGAAAAAAGTATCCCAAACACATTCTTATGACATTTTTTTTTAACATCTTCTCATGACATTTTAAAAAGATAAAATTCTGAAAGCTTCCATAGAGAAAAAGAAATCACCTAAGGAAGGAAAATAGGATAAGCTGAATTCCTCATCAGTAACACAGGATGATAAAAGATAACAGAATAATGCCTTCAGAGAAGTCAAAAAAAAAATCTTTTAATCTGCAATTCTATATTAAAAGTAGCAAGGAAAAAGCAACAAGTTACGTACAAGGAAATTCCCATAAAGCTATCAGCTGACTTTTCAGCAGAAACTGCAGGCCAGAAGGAAGTGGCACAATATATTTAAAGTGATGAAAGGGAAAAACCTACAACCAAGAATACTTTACCCAGCAAGGCTCTCATTCAGATTTGATGGACACATCAAAAGTTTTACAGACAAGCAAAGGCTAAAAGAATTCAGCACTACCAAAGGCAGCTTTATAAGAAATGTTAAAGGGACTTCACTAAGTGAAAAAGAAAAGACCACAACTAGAAACATGAACATTACAAAAGGAAATATCTCATTGGTAAAGGCAAATATACAGTAAAAGTAGTAAATCAACCACATACAAAGCTAATAGGAAGGTTAAAAGACAAAAGTAGTAAAATCATCTGTATGTACAATAAGCAGTTAAGGGATACATGAAACAATTAGATGTAAAATATGATGTCAAAACAGTAATCATACGGGGAGGAGAGTACAAATGCAGGGTTGATAAAATGCATTTGAAATTATGAGATCAGCAACTTAAAATAATCAAAGAGATATACAGATCGATAAATATAAACCTCACGGTAATCACAATCCAAAAATCTATAATAGATACACACACACAAAAAGAGAAGGAATCCAAATATAACACTAAAGACAGTCATCAAACTACAAGGGAAGAGAACAAAAAAAGAACAAAGGAACAAAACCTGACATACAAAAACAACCCCAAAACAATTAACAAAATGGCAATAAGTAGATACATATCAATAATTACTTTACATGCAGATGGACTAAATGTTCCAATCAAAAGACACAAAGTGGCTGAATGGATACAAAAACAAGACCCATATATATGCTGCCTACAAGAGACTCACTTCAGATCTAAAGATACACTCAGACTGAAGGTGAGGGGATGGAAAAGAGTATTCCATGCAAATAGAAATCAAAAGAAAACGGGGTGTCAATAATTATATCAGACAAAATAGACTTTAAAACAAAGAATGTTACAAGAGACAAAGAAGTACACTACATAATGATCAAGGAATCAATCCAAGAAGAAGATATAGCAATTATAAATATATATGCACCCAACAGAGAACCACCTAGATACATAAAGCAAATATTTACAGACAGAAAGGGAGAAATTGACAGTAACACAATAACAGTAGGGGACTTTTAACACCCCACTTATATCAATGAACAGATCATCCAGACAGAAAACCAGTAAGGAGACACTGGCCTTAAATGACACCTTAGACCATATATATAGAGAGAAAACATTCTATCCAAAAGCAGCAAAATACATATTCTTTCCAAGTGCACATGGAACATTCTCCAGGATAGATCACATGCTAGGCCACAAAACAAGCCTCGGTAACTTTAAGAAAACTGAAATCATATTAAGCATCTTTTCTGACCATAACACTATGAGACTAGAAGTCAACTATAAGAAAACTATAAGAAAAAAACTGCAAGAAACAAAAACACATGGAGTCTAAACAATATGCTACTAAACAACCAATGGATCACTGAGGAAATCAAAGAAGAAATCAAAATATACCTGGAAACAAATGAAAACAAAAACACAACAATCCAAAAATCTATGGGATGCAGGAAAAGCGGTTCTAAGAGGGAAGTTTATTGCAATAGAAGCTTACCTCAGGAAACAAGAAAAATCTCAAACAACCTAAGCTTACACCTAAAGGAACTAGAAAAAGAAGAACAAACAAAACACAAAGTTAATAGAAGGAAAGAAATCATAAAGATCAGAGCAGAAAGAAATGAATAAATGGAAATAAGTGAAATAGAGACTAAAAAAATAGAAAAGATCAATGAAACTAAGAGCTGGTTCTTTGAGAAGATAAATAAAATTGATAAACCTTTAGCCAGACTCTTCAAGAAAAAAAGAGAGAGGGCCAAAATCAATAAAATCAGAAATGAAAAAGGAGAAGTTACAACTCACACCACAGAAATACAAAGGATCATAGGAGATTACTACAGCCATCTATATGCCAATAAAATGGACAACCTAGAAGAAACAGACAAATTCCTAGAAATGTAAAATCTCCTAAGACTGAACAAGGAAGAAATAGAAAATACGAAGAAACCAATTACTAGCAATGAAATTGAATCTGTAATTTTAAAAAAACGCCCAACAAACAAAAGTCCAGAACCAGATGGCTTCACAGGTGAATTCTGCCAAACATTTAGAAGAGTTAACACCTATCCGTCTCAAAACTGCAGAGGAAGGAATACTTCCAAACTCATTCTATGAGGCCAGCATCACCCTGGTACCAAAACCAGACAAAGATATCATAAAAAAGGCTAATATCACTGATGAACATAGATGCAAAAATCCTCAACAAAATGTTAGCAACCCAAATCCAACAATATATTAAAAGGATCATACACCATGATCAAGTGGGATACCATATCTTCTTTATCCATACCACATACCACTATAAGGAGAAATAAACAAATCCACAATATATAGTCTAAAATTTCAGTGCCTCTCTCTCTAATTGATAGAACAAGTTGACAGAAAAATCAGTAAGATTATAACAGCCACAAATAATATATAAGCAAATGAGCATGGCTGTATTCCAATAAGACTTCATTTACAAAAATATGTTGTGGTCAAATTATCATGAAGATGTAACAATTACAAACATATACATACCTAACAACAGAGACCCAGATACCCGAAGCAAAAACTGACGAAACTCAAGGGAGAAATAGCCAATTCGGCAATAATAGTTGAAGACTTCAATATCCCTACTTTCAATAATGGACAGAGCCATCAGATAGATGATCAATAAGGAAACAGAAGACTTGAGCAACACTATCAACCAACTTGACCCAACTGACATTTATGTAACTCTCCACCCAATGACGGCAGAATACACTTTTTTTTTTTTAAGTACACCCAGTACATTTACCAAGACAGACCATATTCTGGGCCATGAAACAAGTCTCAATACATTTAAAAGAGTTCAAGTCATACAAGTATGTCCTTTCACCACAGTGGAAATCCCCCAAGAAATCAATAACAGATAAGATTTTTGGACCACCCCCACCCCAAATATTTGGAAATTAAATAACACACAGGTAACTAGCAACTAGTAGATAAATTAAGTCCTGGAGATCTAAATGCAGAGCATAAATGTTATAATCAACAATACTGTATTATGAACTTCAAAGTTGATGAGACTAGATCTTAATTGTTCTCATCACAAAAGAAATGATAATTATGTGATATGATAGAGGTATTAATTACATTGCACTATATAAATGCATCAAATCAACACTCTGTACACCTTAAACTTACACGATGTTATAAGTCAATTATACTGCAATTTAAAAAAACACATAGGTCGGGACTTCCCTTGTGGTCCAGTGGTTAAGAATCCGCCTTCCAATGCAGTGGACGTGGATTTGATCCCTGGTCTGGGAACTAAGATCCCACATGCCGCTGGGCAACTAAGCCCACGCACCGCAACTACTGAGCCCACGTGCTCTGGAGCCCATGCAGCACAACTAGAGAGCCTGTGCACCACAACTAGAGAAGCCCGCGCAGCCAAAATAAAAAAACAAACAAAAAAACCACACAGGTCAAAGATCTCAAAAGGGGAATTAAAAGTATTTTGAATGGAGTGAAAATAAAAGCATAGCATTTCAAATTTATGGGATGTGGCTAAAGCGGTACTTAGGGGATATTTACAGCAGTAAACACATTAACAAAGAAGATTTCAAATCAATGGCTTCAGCTGCCACCTTAAGAAATTTTATATATATATTGAACCCCAAAGTAAACAGAAGGGAAATAATAAAGAACAGAATGGAAATCAATGAAATAAAAACCAGAAAAACAATAGGAAAAAAACAAAACAAAACAAAACCAATGAAGCCAAAAGCTGGTTCTTTGAGAAGATTATTAACACTGATAAATCTTCAGCCAGACTGATTAGGAAAATAGAGAGAGATGACACAAATTACCAATATCAGAAATGAAAGAGGTGATATCACTACAGAATTTATAAGTATCAAAAGGATAATAAGGAAACATTATGAACAACTTTTTGCCTATAAATTCAACAACTTGGATGACACAAATGACTTGAAAGACAAACTACCAAAGCTCATTCAAGAAGAAACAGATAATCAAAATCTGTTAAAGAAATTGAATTTTTAGTTAAAAACCTTCCTGCAAAGAAAACTCCAGACCCAGATGGCTTCACTGGTGAATTCTACCAAACATTTAAGAAAGATGTAATATGTATTTTACACAAATTCTTCCAGAGAAATGAAGAGAAGGGAATATTTATAGAGTAAGGCCAACATTACGCTATCAAAATCAAACAAAGGGGCTTCCCTGGTGGCGCAGTGGTTGAGAGTCCGCCTGCCGATGCAGGGGACACGGGTTCCTGCCCCGGTCCGGGAAGATCCCACATGCCACAGAGCGGCTGGGCCCGTGAGCCATGGCCGCTGAGCCTGCGTGTCCGGAGCCTGTGCTCCGCAACGGGAGAGGCCACAGCAGGGAGGCCCGCATACCGCAAAAAAAAAAAAAAAAAAAAAAAAATCAAACAAAGGCATCATAAGAAAGGAAAACTACAGATCATTATTCCTCATGAACATAGATGAAAAAATTTTTAACAAAAAAATGTAGCAAACTGAACCTAAAATATATATAAAAAGAAAAATACCATCCTGACCAATTGGGGGTTCATCCCAGAAATGAAAGGTTGGCTTAACATTGGAAAATCAGCATAACTGAGCATAGTTAAAGAATAAAAGAAAAAAGAAAAAAAATCATGTAAACTTCTTAATAAATGCAGAAAAAGCATTTGAGAAAATCTAGCTTCCATTACTATAAAAATTATCAGCAAAACAGGAATAGGAGGGAAATTCCTCAGCCTGATAAAGGGCATCTATGAAAAAACTACAGTTAACATCATACTTAATGGTGAAAGCCTGAATGTTTTTGCCGTAAGATCAGGAATAAAACAAGCATGTCTACTTCTCTACTATTCAGCATCCTACTAAAGGTGCAGTATGCAAGAAAGAAAAAGAAACAAAAGGCAGATAACATAATCACCTTTGTAGAAATCTGATGGAATCTACAAAAAAGATACAAACACTACTGAGTTTAGAAGATTGAAGGATATAAGATCGACACAGAAAAATTAATTGTATTTCTTTGTACTAGCAACACAATAGAAAGTTGAAATCAAAATAGAGGTCTGAAAAGTGCTTTGAGAACACAAATAAGGGGAATCAATTAGACAAAAAAAGATATTTGAGCTGGAACTTGAATGATAAGTAAGGACTTCTCAGTTAGATTAAAGGTATTCAAGGCAGAGGGAATAGCACTGAGACAGGTAAGAATGTGTGCTAACAAAGAACAAAAAGACTCCGGGGCCCAAGGGGTATACAAGCATGGAAGCAGTGTACATGGTCTTTGCCACATGATGGGCCATGCAGAGGTCTCTTGCTCTGGGGCTTACTGCTGATATAACAGTCTTAAACTGAAAGTGGTCCAGACAAACTAGGTACATTGCATCCTCTTTCAATTCAAGAAGAGCACAAAGACCATCAAAGCAACAGAAAATCTGCCACACTTCTAAGCACCTCAAGTGAAACATGCACATAGTTCTAACCTCTTATGCAAGAAAGATGGATGTAAAAGTTCAGGATCCTTGTCCAGATCCCAAATTCAATGGATATCACCTGTACTCATGAATGAACTATTTAAAAGTCAGCCTAGGGGGCTTCCCTGGTGGCGCAGTGGTTGAGAATCTGCCTGCTAATGCAGGGGACACGGGTTTGAGCCCTGGTCTGGGAGGATCCCACATGCCACGGAGCAACTAGGCCCGTGAGCCACAACTACTGAGCCTGCGCGTCTGGAGCCTGTGCTCCGCAACAAGAGAGGCCGCGACAGTGAGAGGCCCGCGCACCGCGATGAAGAGTGGTCCCCGCTTGCCACAACTAGAGAAAGCCCTCGCACAGAAACGAAGACCCAACATAGCAAAAATAAATTAATAAACTCCTACCCCCAACAACAACAACAACAAAAAGAGTACATGTGAATTCCAGAGTTTACTTATGAGGAGGTTCTATAAAAAAAAAAAAAAAAAGTCAGCCTAGCAACTCAGACTCTGCAAACTATACAAGTTCACTGAAAACAGCTATTTTCTGATATGGCCCTCTAGTTATTGGTGTGACTGAGGCTAGTTTCAGATTTACCCATAAGATTAATTTTCAAATGTTCTAAATTGATTGTGGTCATGACTACACAACTATGCTGTGAATATATGAAAAAACATTGAAATGTACATTTTAAGCAGGTGAATTGTATGATATGTGAATTATATCTAAATATAGCTACTATTTCAAAATAAGAATAATTTTTGAGGATTTAAAGAATACTTTTTTTGTTTTAATCAAGTAGACAGTATCTTGCAGATTTAGTAACTACTAGTTTAAGTGTCAATCATCTTTTAAAATCAGATACATGACTCAAAGAATTCTTGTACAGTTAGCAAGCAGTACATTCTTCCCTCCTGCTGTTTTGTTTCCCAGCCAGACCAAGGTTAGGTTACATTAAATCTAGTCATAAAAAGAAAATAGTTATATATCTGGCAATAAAATTCTATGTTAGCTTAATTTCCAAAAGACTGGAAAAAAAAAAAAAAAGAATGTAGCACATCATTACTTTCACGTTCACCATGAAATGAATAAATGAATTAACACATTTCACCAATTAAAATCCAAGGGATACATCATTTAGGTAATTTCCCCAGATCCCTCAGGTTCCTAATATACTAATATAATATCCTAATATAATATTCTGCCAAGCAGCTTTTTTCTAAGATGTTCTTTCTTACCTGGTCTCAAAGGTGTGACATCTTGCTGAAGATTAGCTGTTCTCAGAGGAGTTTTGCCCTGAAAAAGCCCTCCTGTACCATTCTTCCCAGGAAACTTATTCTCCAAATTGGCCTTCTCTTCTGTGAAAAGGTAAAATCACCATCGTGTAAACAATCAGCAAAGAAAGCAAAATAAATTAGTGCCATACACTTAATATGGGGCCTAAATAAAGCCTCCTACCAGTATACTTCTAACTCATTTGCAAGTACCAGCAAAGTTCTAGTGATCAAAAAGGAATGAGTACATATTATATGTCAGAGATAGCGACTGCAAAAACTATCACTAAAACACTGGCAACACAGAACAATGTATTATAGAAAAGAAGTGCAGACTCTGCATTGTGAATTGCTCCTTATCTTTGCTTGATACACATTCAGGACCATACAAGCATAAACTGGTCTTATCTACCACCTAAATACAGCATGTTCCTCTTAAAGAAAACTGTATCCAGCAAGACCTGCAAGGTTTACAAGGGACATCTGATAGTCTAATTGTGTTGAGGTTCTTCCTCAACTAGGAGAGTGTGGGGTGTATGAGTATGGAACAGAGTTAGGCTCTCTTAAGGAATTTTATCTTAGGTTCTGCTGTGCCCAAAAGCCAGTGCAAAACAGTGAAAAGTGTGTTCTACCAACAGCCTACTGATAGAAATTTTAGGAATGTGGCGAGCCCCAGCAATAACTCTGTGAATGTACACTCTGATTGCAACTGTGTAAAAAGATTTATTTGGAAAAAAATTAGAAAGCAATATATTAGAACTAAGGTGATTTTGGAAAAAAATAGGGGGATTCATTTTTTCTTCTAAACTGTATCTAATAGTATTGTTATATTAATATTTCCTTTCTTGTTTTCAAGAAAAACTTGGAAAAAGAGATAGACAACTCAGCTATTTCCTCAGGGTTTCTGTGGGCCAAGGGCATGGGGAAGACTTCTGTATGGCAGCTGGCCGTCTTATCCACCCTTCCTCCTACACCACGCCCAAAAGACCCCTCCTCTCAGGATACCCACTGGATTTTATTAGAATCCTTTTCCAAGAGAATGGCATATGCCATCACATTTGGACACTGCATTATAAGTGTTAAGTACAGCTGCAATGAACTAATTTGTATCCCCCATCACATACTGATTTCTCTTAATGAGGAGGATAAGGACATGAGATAGAAGAAAATGAAGGAGCCCCAGCAAATACTAGCCTCACATATCACTGGGCTCAGATATTATTCCAATGTAATATAAAGAAAAAACCACATCCTTATTTGTTGACCTGGTGTCAAAGTTTGTATCATATCACCTGCCCCAACATCAGGCAATCCTATCTCTGTTTGGAGATTGGGTTCTGAGTAGCATAATCCCTCCATTTAAAAATGAACTGGGGGGAATTACCTAGAGGTCCCATGGTTAGGACTCCCTGCTTCCACTGCAGGGGGCACAGGTTCGATCCCTGGTCGGGGAACTAAGATCCCTCAAGCTGTGTGGTGGGGCCAAAAACTAAAAAAAAAGAACTGGGGAGAAGCAGCAAGAGGGAGATGAGTATAGTTATAAAAGGACAACACAGGATCCTTGTGATGTTAGAACTGTTTGATATCTTGACTGTGGCAGATCAACAAACCTACACAGGTAATAAAATTGCATAGAATTTAATACACATAAATAAAAATAAATACAAGTCAAACTGAGGAAATCTGAGTAAGACTGTCAACATCCCAGTTGTAATATTATACTCTATGCCCAGTGACAGTAGAGCAAGTTTTTATGTAACTGCCATCACTACAGACATGTCCTAGAACTTCACTCAACTTTGTTTCATCTAGATTTTACCATATGTCCCTAAAGCTTAAATATTTCTCATTCTTAACTGGAAAACATTGATTTCTACTGATAGTCCATTCCCAAAATACTGGGCGTCTCGATTATTTCTATCATATCGTGGATGACAAAGTATCTTGGTGCAGAAAAGAATTAATATTTTTTTAATTTATTTATTTTTATAAATTTATTTATTTATTTTTGGCTGCGTTGGTTCTTCATTGTTCCGCGCAGGCTTTCTCTAGTTGCGGCGAGCAGCGGCTACTCTTCGTTGCAGTGTGCAGGCTTCTCAATTCAGTGGCTTCTCTTGTTGCGGAGCACGGGCTCTAGGCACACAGGCTTCAGTAACTGTGGCACGCAGGCTCAGTAGTTGTGGCCCACGGGCTCTAGAGCGCAGGCTCAGTAGTTGTGGCGCACAGGCTTAGTTGCTCCGCAGCATGTGGGATCTTCCCGGACCAGGGCTAAAACCCATGTCCCCTGCATTGGCAGGCGGATTCTTAACCACTGCACCACCAGGGAAGCACAGGAATTTATATTTTGGTTATCTACAATCCCTTCTATTTTTGAAAGGTCCCCAGCACAAAGGAAGTCACCAACCCTTAAAACAACCAGAGAAAGCAGATACTTACCAAACCAGGAATCTATGTTTTGGGTATCTTCCTCATCATTCAAAGATGTAAAATTGATGAAGTCTGTTGGAGCATCATAGGAATAGGAGGATGTAACTTGTGACATTTTTCCCACCCTTGGTGCAGAAGAGCAGGTTTGCCCAGTATTTGTTTCTCAATAGGTCACCTCCTAAGGAAAGAAATAGTTCAGAAACTTGGTGGCACATTTATCTTAAGGTACTGATTGCCTAACAATTACTTTGCTTTTATGATCACATTTGCAATTCTGAAAATCACCTGGGCAGTATGCCTTACTTTTCAAATCACACTAAGAGTTAACTTCACTTTTTCAGTAAATTGAAGACACTCCTTGAGGTAAATATGTTGGAATTAGAAAGAGGTCAAATTTGATGAATACCTACAACATGCCATGTACTGTGCTAGGTGTTTTACATTCATTATCTTATTTTCCTCAATCTACCGTTTTCTCATTTCTAGTCTCCTCCACATCCAGTGTGCTTTCTCTCTGCCCTGAATAACCCAATTTCTGAAACACACCATTAAATTTTATACCTACCAACCAAAATCTTACTCATCATTCAAATCCAGTAAAATCTTTCCCAGTTTCCACCTATCATACCTAATTGTTGCCTCTCCAAAGCCATAGTGCTTTTATACCACCTAACTTTATATTAGTTAACTATGCAAATGTCTCTCCTAGTAGACACTAAGTTCCTGTAGATAAGGATGAATTTTACTCACTTGTGTATACCTCATCCATCAAGGTGCTTAGAACAGTATCTCATACATAGTAAAAGCTCAATATAGTTTTGCCAAGTACAGGTTTTTTCTTTAGAAATACTTTCATAAAAATACTATTCCTGGGCATGAAGAGAAAGACTTCAAAAAAATACATAAAAGAAAAAAAAAGTACATAAACGCCACACCATGCGGATTAGGTAAAAGAAACATGTCAAAGATATGGGTCCATCCTTACTTCTGCATACTTTGTACAGAAGTACTGTGCTGTGTCCTCTGTGCTGTGGAAACCTGTGTAGGTTTAAAGTCAGCCCCCACTCCAGCCTTGTATAGTTAAGAAAATAGCTGGAAGTAATCTGAAAAATAGCCGAAAGGCCACACTCACTGGTAACTAATTTCCCTATGAAACCCAATGAGCAATTTGTCTTCATCCATGAAATGACATGTACTTAAAGTATTCTGTATCTTGGAAGAGAAGCAGATATCAGTAACAACTTGCATACACATTTATTAAACTAAGTACCTTTCTGTAAGCCCTTATTTTAGAAATACATGCTCATTTTAAAAAATTAGATCATAAAAATAGTTTTCATAAAAATCTACAGTGCCACACTGCTCCAGACACACACACGATACCTCTCTCAATCTCTCTCTCCACACACACACACACACACACGCACACACTTTTGTTTTTTCAAATGGGATCATTGACATTTTGAATCTGCTTCACATATCGTGAGCATATTCCTTGTCAATAAATATAGATATATCAGCAACCACAATTTACTTATCCCTTATTTTAGGACTTTCCCAATATTTTCACTTTAAAGATACTACTAGAAGAATAACCATGTAGCTAAATTTCTGTACATATTCTTAATTCTTCCCTTAAGACAAATTCTTTTTTAATTAATTATTTATTTATTTATGTTTTGTGTTTTTGTGGGTTTTTTTTTTGTTTTTTGTTTTTTGTTTTTTGCGGTACGTAGGCCTCTTACTGTTGTGGCCTCTCCCGCTGCGGAGCACAGGCTCTGGACGCGCAGGCCCAGCGGCCACGGCCCACAGGCCCAGCCACTCCGTGGTATGTAGGATCCTCCTGGACCGGAGCACGAACCCGTGTCCCCTGCATCGGCAGGCGGACTCTCAACCACTGCAACACCAGGGAAGCCCATGTGGGGGTTTTTGGCTGCATTTGGTCTTTGTTGCTGTGGGTGGGTTTTCTCTAGTTGCGGCGAGTGGGGGCTACTCTTCGTTGCGGTGCGCGGGCTTCTCCTTGCGGTGGCTTCTCTTGTTGCAGAGCACGGGCTCTAGGTGCACGGGCTTCAGTAGTTGCAGCACGCAGGCCCCAGAGCGTGTGGGCTTCAGTGGTTGCGGCACATGGGCTCAGTAGCTGTGGCACACAGGCTCTAGGGCACACGGGCTTCAGTAGTTGTGGCACGCAGGCTCAGTAGTTGTGGTGCACGGGCTTAGTTGCTCCTTGGCATGTGGGATCTTCCCAGACCAGGGATCAAACCCATGTCCCTTGCACTGGTAGGTGGATTCTTAACCACTGCCCCACCAAGGGAAGTCCCAAGACAAATTCTTAAAGATGGAATTGCTGGCTCTTGATACATACTGTGAAAACATTCCTCAGGAGAATAATACCCAGTAGCATTACCAGAGAGGTGTGCCCGTTCTCTTCTGGGCACTAACAGCCCTCAGTGCTCACTTTCTCTATTTTATACCACTATACCTATGCTGTGAGATAAATCATGAGATTAATTCCACCCAACCTCATTGCTGCTCAGTGGTTTAGCCATCATTTCATTAGCTTCTCTCAGTGGACTTGGGTAATTCAGAAGGAATTTGTTCTGACAGATATTTAGTTTATATAGTGACATCAACCTATACACCAGAGAACCTCATTCTCCCATGGTCTCTCTTATGAACTCACCGAAGCCACAACTCCACAGATACCTTTATAACAACGTGCCGACTGAGGAACTTAATGTAGAAATATGACATTTTGGAATTGGGAGGAATTTTAAATAATACCTAACTTTTTAAGTTTATAGATAAAGATTAATCAAAACGAAATGGGGTCCTCCAAGATCACACAACACTACTAATGATTATGGTAAGAACAGTTCCCAAAGGTGATTATACATGCCAGACACCATGAGGTACTAAATTGTACTATTTTAATAACCCTCAACAATCCTCTAAAGCATCAATTATTATCTCCATCCTAGAAGAGGAAGCTGAAGGTAAGGGAGATTAAAAGACTTCCCAATATCATACAGTTATACAAAAGCAGAATTAGATCTAGAACTGAGGCCCCTGACTTCAGCACAGTGTTTTTCCTATACCGTTCTGCCCTCTCACCCTATGAATTAGAGAAGCACGTTAATGTAGTTATAGTCTCTATTTGTATAGAAAATAGTATGGTATTTCTTTCCAAGTAGATCCATTCTTCATAGTCTTTTGCCCTGAATAGAGGATTCTTTATTATCCTCCTTCTAAGTTTTCATTCTCCCCTATTTCTACTTTCATTATTCAGTTTAACTCAATAAGCTATTTATTAGCAGTCCACTCATATTACACACTTGCTAGAGGTCATAAATGTGGGCTTGATAATATCGGAGCTCCTTTCTCACTAATATTCAAGGATGAGACAATATGTCTCATACAAAAGGTAGAAGATCTAGTCTCAGACACAAAGGAATTAAAACCTAGACAGGAGTCCTATCAGACTCAATAAATAAGACAGCATAAATATTTAAATTATATAGTATAAACCATAAGTATAAAGAAAATTAGAGGGACTTCTCTGATGGTGCAGTGGTTAAGAATCCGCCTGCCAATGCAGGGGACACGGGTTCTAGCCCTGGTCCGCGAAGATCCCACTGCCGTGGAGCAACTAAGCCCACGCGCCACAACTACTGAGCTTGGGTGCTGCAACTACTGAAGCCTGCGCGCCTAGAGCCTGTGCTCCACAACAAGAGAAGCTACAGCAATGAGAAGCCTGTGCACTGCAACGAAGAGCAGCCCCCTCTCACTGCAACTAGAGAAAACCCATGTGCAGCAATGAAGACCCAACACAGCCAAAAATAAATAAGTTAGCTTAAAAAAAAAAGGATGAAAATTAGAGATGAACGTGGCTTAAGTCAAGTTATGATTAAATACTTTTCATTGAACAGCATCAAAACAGTAAGAAGTGCACTGTAACAGAAGTCTCCTCCTTGATTGCCAAGCTTCCAAGCTTGGAATAGCCATGGGACAGTTCTGGCCAATGAGAACGATGAGAATCTGCTGAGGGATTCATAGGAAAACTCTTACTTACCTGATACAGCTACAGCCCTTGCTCCTGCCCTCTTCCTTCAGCTTTCTTCTTGCCTTGAAAGCAGATGTAATGGCTAGAGCTATAGCAGCCATCATATACACAGGAGTAAATGAGCAAGAGAATAACATACAATGGCCCTGATATCACTGTGCTATTGATCACTGATGATCAAATATCAGCAACCACCTACCTCTAGACAATAAAACTCTTTTCATATAGGCTGTTAAAGTCACATTTTCTTTCACTTAAAGCCAAAAACAATCCCAACATAGAAATCCAGAATTCTAGCCCTCTCCCTGGCATTACCTGATGTATATGATAATGGGCAAGTCACTCCACCTTTCTGCCTACCTACTTCCCGTAAACAAGTGAGAAGGTATTTTGAGTGCTATGAAATACACTACCGTATGATATTATCACTGCCTTTTGACCTACTGATAGCTTTCCTCTCCTTGACCACATTTCTATTCAAAGGACATTGTTGAAAGATTCTCCAGCAATTGACAGTGGTTAAAATTCCCCTGCTGCAAGGAGGAAGTTTTCCAGTTCTTGTGAACAAACATGCTGGAAGACATGGGAAAATCTTGGATTCCCATGATCTTAATGCCTAACCCAGGTCACTGGGAAGACTTCCCAGGCAGAAATGTAATGAAGACAACCAAAGCTGGGGGAGGGAAGAGGCAGGAATGTAATATGCAGCAACCCCACTTAGCCTCCTAAAAACTATGATTCCACCAAAGCATGCTGCTGAAAACCACCTGGAAAGTATTCAAATTTAAACCCTCACATCCTTTTTTCCTTTTTTTAATTATGGAGCTACACTGCTACCCCCTGTGGAGGGCAATTTACATTTTTCTTTTTGATACATCTTGCCAAATGTAGAAATTTATCTTACAGATATGTATTTATACATATGTAAATATAAGAAAATTCACATAGCAGTGTTCATAAAAGCCAAAAAACTGAAAACCCCAATTCCACCAACAGATTAGTTGAATAAATTATGGCACAACCATATACTGAAATATTAAGTAAATTTAATATCAGATAACTTTACATCTGTGATTTGTACAAAATGAGCTCCAAGAGCTACTAAGTGAGAAAAGCAA